TGAAGACTGCACATATAATAATCACTGTAAGCATTCATTTGGTGGTCGCTTACTGATGTTTGGTAGTCTATTCCCGATGATTGGTAGTCGAAATTATACCCGAAAATATTAAAAAAACGATATACAAGCGTGAAGTTAGCCCCCCCCCCTCCCTTGTAAAACTCAGCTTTGCAGACTGCACAAACAATAATCTCTGTAAGCATTCGTTTGGTGGTCGCTTACTGACGTTTGGTAGTCCATACCCGATGATTGGTAGTCGAAAGTATAACCGAAAATATAAAAAAAACGACATACACGAGTAAAATTAATCTCTTTATTTGGCTTTCCCGATTGTATATGTAATAATAACTGTAAGCATTCGTTTGGTGGTCGCTTACAGATGTTTGGTAGTCAATTCCCGATCATTGATAGTCGAAATTATAACTGAAAATGTTAAAAAAAACGATATGCAGGCGTGAAGTTAGCCCCCCCACTTGTAAAACTCGGCTTTGTAGATTGCATACAAAATAATCACTGTAAGCATTCGTCGGGTGGTCGCTTACTGACCTAGTAGTTCATTCCCGAAAATTTAAATAATTATATATGTATTCTTAATCCACATTTCGAAAAAAATAACAATGTCCAAAAAATAGCAAAATTTTTTAAATTAATCAATGCTAATTAATACAAACCAACAACGGTCAAAGTTTAGATGTTTCAAACAATATAATTTTTTAAATAGATTTTATTTTAGAACTATGATTACGCGCCGATAACTTTCGGACTGTCAACACAATCAATCTGAAACGTTATAGTCCCCCCTAAATTAATTATTTAGAAAAACTGTATAGAAACTTATTGCGAAAAATATTACATCAGCCAGGGTTTAAACCTGGGACCTCTCAACTTTTTTAATTAATTTTATTTTGGGACACAGCCTACATATGCAATCGAAAAAGCCGAGTTTTAGAAATGAACAGGGTAAATTCACGAGCATATGCCGTTTATTGATATTTTTAATTATATTTCTGACCACCAATGGTCGGGAAAGGACTACCAAACGTCAGTAAGCGACCACCAAACGAATGCTTACAGAGATTATTGTTTGTGCAGTCTGCAAAGCCGAGTTTTACAAGTGGCTAACTTCACGCCTGTATATCGTTTTTTAAATATTTTCGGGTATAATTTCGTCTACCAATCATCGAGAATGGACTACCAAACGTCAGTACCCTAGTAGCACAGAATATTGGCTATACATTGGCTAAGATTGGCTAAATATTGGTTGTATTGGGGATACATTGGCCAAGATTTCCCAATGTAATGCCAATATTGGCTATATAATAGACGCCAATGTATAGCCAATATTGCATGTCAGTCGATACACAATATTGGCTCTACATTGGCGATACATTGGCCAATATTTCCCAATGTAATGCAAATATTGATATATAATAAGTGCCAATGTGTAGCCAATATTGCGTGTCAGTGGTTACACAATATTGGCTATATAATAAATGCCAAAATGTGTAGCCAATATTGCATGTTAATCATTACCTAATATTGTCTTTATTTGTTATTTATTTATTATTTATTTATTTATTTGTCTTTATTATTGGATATATATTGTGAATAGATTGTTTATATCATACATGTACAATTAAGTAACACATTTATTAATCGAAGAAATGGTGCAGCACATAACGCAGAAGACTCATAGTCCGAAGGTCTCAGGTTCGAATCCCGTAGGTAAGTGAATTTTCATTCAATTATTTCTAATATTGAATATACATTATTTCAGGAATATTAGCGAATATTGAAAAATCATGTATAGCCAGTGTAAAACATTGGGTAAGAATTGAATCCCCAGTATTGGTTAAATATGGCTAGGCGTCTACTTTACAATATTGGACCAATATTGGAGATTAAATTTTTGCCCAATATTGGCGAAATATTGGAAAAACAATGTATAGCCAATGTAAAACATTGGGTAAAAATTGAATCCTCAATATTGGTCCAATATTTTTGAAACAATATTGGTCCAATATTGTTGAACCAATATTGGCTAAATATGACTAGGCGTCTACTTTACAATATTGGACCAATATTGGTTATCCAATGTTTTAATATTAGCTGTACATTCGTTTCCCAATATTGCGCCAATAATTTATGCTACTAGGGTAAGTGACCACCAAATGAATGCTTATAGTGATTATTGTATGTGCAGTCTGCAAAGCCGAATTTTACAAGTGCAGGGGCCAACTTCATACGCATTCGTCTCTTTTCGTTATATCTTTGACTACCAAACGTCCGGAATGGACTACCAAACACCACCAAACGACTACCAAACGAATGGTAATGGTTATTTTTAGTTTTTTATTAGTGGGGGGGTCAACTTTTCACACAGGTGACAATGAGAATCAAAGGATTCTCCCTATGCGCCGCGGCAGCGCGGCGGGCGCTCTTGCGAAACGAATTGATTTTTTTCAGTCACTTTAAGTGAGCACTAAAATCGGAAATGTATATATTTTGATACTACAATGTCTAAGGATTGTTTTAATACCAAAATCATGCGAGTATCAAATTCTTTGATGATCGGGTAACGAATTTTAGAGCGCGGTGCGCCTTTCTTCTCGACGTATAATTGAAATAACGCTATATTTGAAAATATTTTGCTGTATTTTGGAGCACTAAATTAGCACTAAAATTCCTGTGTACTTATTTTTTGTATACATGGATTGTATATATATTTTTTTATTGCTGCTAAATGGTTTGAGCACTAAAATTCGGAATAGGGTACTAAATTAGCACCTAAAGAGTATTAAATTTTTGGCCTATTCCGAACTTGATTTTTGATGATGGGGGGGGTCCAGCTTAGTAGACGTCGAATGTTAGAACAATTCACAAGATTTAATACAAAAATTTGGAAGATTTAATACGTAAGTGCAGTGTTCTCCGGAAGTTTATTCATATTATTATCAAAATTTTCGAAATATATTAGATATGAATTATTTGGATCATTAATTAATTATTATTCCATTGAAATTTTATTTCTATTTTTGTTCTTATTTGATATATGTAATTTATTTCAATTAATTAAATAATTTTTTTGTATTATATATATACTTATTTCATTTTCTAATAAAAATTTTTTTATTGTCAAATTGAGGCATTTGATTTGAGGATGCCAAAACCACAAAACGATATACTTTAAAACTTGTAAAAAAATTTTTTCTATCCTCAAAAATGTTTTATAATCCGTAGGAAGTCCGTAGGAGGTCTATGCAGAGAAAATTTCAATTGAATTTTGTTCTGGGTGAAAGAACCTATTTGAAGAATGTAACAATTCATTTGAACGCTTGGGATCCTGTTAAAATCAACTTTCAACCTATTTGATCATTTTTTTACATTAATAGGGCTATATTTCCTAAGGCGTATATCGTAGAGCTAAATGAATTATTGCTAAATGAATTATATCGTGTTCAGCGACCAAAAAAACATACAGTACCACATTTATGTGGTACTGGATTTACAATCCAGATTAAGTCATTTCTGTATCAAATCAAACATATATTAAGGATAATCGAAATTTTAAAAATCATTCATTAGCGACCTCTGAATCTTAATATTATTTAATAAAAATTTAGGGGTGTTGTTTTGGCATAAAATGGAAACTTTTGAGCTGAGACGGCGATTAAAAAAATTTTTTTTTCCTTGTCAGTCTAATATATACCAATATGTACCAAAAAAGTCGGGACATCTGAATATCTCGGAAAATCTAAGTTTTATACAATAGAAAAGTGTTTTAGACAAAGTTGTAGGATTCAAAAGGACCTATTTAGGTCTAAACTGATCTTATCAGTTTGATCTTGGGTGTCGTCACCAAAGTCAGGTCAAGGTCACATCGATTTTTTAAAATGGTACATCCTATTTTTGATTCCAGGATCTAATAACTGGTGTCGAGAGCTTTTCAAAATAGTATTATACAATAAAGTTATTTTTCATTAAGTACTTCTTGAGTTATAAGACTTGAAAGTTATAGTACCGCTAGCATTAGCATTACGTAAGGTGTTCCACCGACGTTTAAAACCTCTTAAGATCAAGATTATTGGAGATTGTTTCTCTTATTTTTATTTTTGCACTGAAAATTCATATTTATGTAAAAATCTAAATAAGAGAAATAGTCTCCAACGATCTTGATCTTGACAAACGTTATCCAGGACATGATCCTGAACAATATTCAATGTTATAATACTGTAACTTTCGAGCCTTATAACTCGAAAAGTACTTTATGAAAAATAACTTTATTGTTTTGAAAAGCTCTCGACACCAGCTATTAGATTCTGGAATCAAAAATAGCGTGTGCCATATAAAAAAATCGATGTGATCTTAACCTGACCTTATATTTTCTGAAATATTCAGGTGTCCCGATCTATTCAGGACACCCTGTATACATTATAATTACAAATTCTCTTTTAGTAATTTTTAAAGTTAATTTTTCGTTAAGCAAGATATAATTAATATTTTTATGAATTGTAAAAATTTGATTATATATGTATATATACGGCAAAAGCTTTTTCCGGAATTGTAATCTCCAATAATCTCTCGGAGCTTATTTGTAGATATGCTTGTTATCGGCTATCTTGGCTCATGGCGAATTATGATAATTCCATCCTATCATAATAAACAATGTACTAAGTTAATATTTACCATGTTTACCTCCTACCAATACGACATGTATAACTTCGTTTTACACTACATTAGAAGAGAAGAGAGAGAAGAGAGAGAGAAGTCAGTAATAGTTCAATAATCTGAATCTCCATGAATACCTGTAATAATATTTAAGATACCTAATGCGTTAAAGAGAGTTCACCGTGGACGTATCGGCCTAGCCAACTCGACTCGCTTATAATCTCCATGGTTTCCTCGGATACGCCTGTTTGAAACTAGATCGTAACACTCCCTTCCATGGGAGTTTCGGCCAACTTTTGGCAATACTGCAAGAACGCGGCGGCAACATAAAGTCTCGTAAACAATGAGCTAACAAAACGGGAGAGCGTTACGTCTCTTCTATGCGGCGAGATCGCGCAGTCACCGGAAATATAGACGGCAACGGACGGTAATCTTTACAGCCAATTTAAGCCGGATGAGGCGTCCGCTCGCCGAAAGTTGACCCGCGCGATAATATTTTTTGCCGGGAAATTAAAGTCGCGCTCGCGCTGCCGAAAGGATGGGTGGATGAGTGCCTGTGCGAAAACGCAATGCGGATAGAAAAGGGGAATTCCCTTTCGCCTCACGTCGTTTCGTGACGTACGAACATAGTCTATTAGAGTGGAAAGAAAGTCGTCGCACGAAGGCGACAGGGACGTATCCGAAGGATTTTCCGGAATAGTCTCGTCGAGATTAGCAATTGAGTCTCGTATTAGATTGGATAAATTTACACTTGTAAGGTAAATCGTAAAAATTACGCCCGCTTCGTGTATTTCTACGAGCATTTCGCACGCATCATGCAAGAAATTATGTCTAAAAATTAAATGAGATTGTTTTCAAGTAAAACTCTTAGTATAAATTATTAGAAATTCTTATTATTGCAGTAAAACGGAGCGAGAACTCTCACCAAAACTATGAAATTTTAATGTTGAGGTGCTAACTTCACACACGCGCCTAAATATCTAAAAGGAAAGGAAGAAATGTGGTCCCTTCACATCCATCTCTGGGGATGAAATATAGTGCGACTGTCAAAGTGACGTTACGAAAAGACACGAGACGGTCTGCTAGTCGCGAGCGGCACGTCGGCGATGTGCGCTCCCCAGGATATTAAGCCTGTCTAATTTTCGCAATTTGTCGTAGCAAAATATTACGAGGCTCTCGTAACGAGGAACCTTTCTTCGCGAGAATTCCGGCCACGCCTACGTGCTTGCATCGGGTCGCGTATAAGAAAGCCTTTTCCGGTGAAGAACGCATGTAACCCCCTTTCTCGCGTAGGATGGATGGCAGGGGGACGAAAGGGGATGAAGGGCGCGAACCCAAAGTTCGGTCCGTTTAATCTCCCTGGCGATAAATTTGCGAAATTAAATCATGGAATACTATATGGTTGGGGCATAATGGGCACTTTGCCGGTAATGTACGGCCGGATTATTAGCATAATGCAAGATCCCCGTCGTCCACCTGCGCGAATGGATATGTATAGGTGTATATAGTTTGTGGTGTACGGTATTGGTGATTGCAGGTAGTTGCGATCGAGTTGCATGAGATGGTCACTATATTATATTGTCGATTATGCTGTCTGATATATACGTATATTATGAAAGCTATAATAATAGTTTTTCTTTCACATGTTAACATCGAAAATATACTTGAAAATATGCTTGAAAATTGCTTGTCGAGAATAAACGTTCGATTTTTGTTCGACAATTTTAAACGATTTGTACATCTCTTCAATTTTTAAAAAGAATTCAGAAAGATTTCTTTTGCTGCAAATAATGCAGTATTATGTATTTATTAGACACGGTAAAAACACTTTATTTTTTTAAAATAAAAATTTGAAACGCGATAGTGACACTATTCATTTTTATGCATATGACCGTGTATGAGATACTGTATAGTCTTGTATGCAAAGGTAATTTTTGAAAATATTGGAACGGATGAAGTTTTGAAAGGGGACGATTTCGACATGTGTATACGTCAATTTTTATTAAAGTGAGAAGATATTGGAGTATAGAAAAATTTGCATCCGGAAAATTCGACATTCTACTATGAATAGATCCATTCATATTTACATATTAATCTTTCAGTAACGACTTTAAAATAACGCACAATATTTCTTAACGACATTTCGTGAAGAATATCCG